AGTTCTTTAGTCCATAAATATTTTTAAAGCTTTTTAAAATTTTTTCTAGCCCTGGCTGGTGTAGCTCAGTGGGTTGAGCACAGGCCTGCAAACCAACAGGTCGCTGGTTCGATTCCCAATCAGGACACATGCCTGGGTTGCAGGCCAGGTCTGCAGTAGGGGACTCAGGAGAGGCAACCACACACTGATGTTTCACTCCCTCTCTTTTTCCCTCCCTTCCCTCTGTCTATAAAAATAAGTAAAATCTTTTTAAAAATAAAATAAAATTTTCTAATGTATGAGGTTCATGGCACCTTCATAATCACTGTAAATGGTTAGAACTGCTTGAATGTGGACTGTGCCTAATCACATTAGAATTTTCATGGTATTTAGAGTAACCCTCTATCAAACAGAGGGCCATTTCCTGATCAGACTGGAAAATAGGACATGTCCTATGAAGGAACAGAATATTGAAAAGTCCCTAATGTGATCAGAAACTGCATGTTCATAGTGACACGTGACGGAGACCAAGGTGCCCTTTCTGTCTACAGCTGCACTCATTTCTCTGCCCCCAACCCCAGACCTGGGACCATGGTCATGTCCATGTGAGTTGGGATAGGAACTGGCTTATGTCACAAAGACACCCCAAAATAAATGACTTAAATAACATAAAAGGTTGTGCCCCTCTTAGGGGAAAACGTGGGTGATGGTCCAGGGCTGGGGTGGCAGCTTAACTCTGTAGGGTCCCGGGCCCTTTCTGTCCTGCTGCCCTACCAGCCCCAGGATGCTGGGCCCACCCACGGTCCGCATTCCAGCCTGTGGGAAGGAGGAGAAAGAAATGGGAGGCATGCTGAAAGGGCACTGCAGGATATCCCACTGGGCACTTTCACGTAGATCTTATTGGCCAGAACTTAATCACATGGCCATGCCTAACTGCAAAGGGAGGCTGGGAAGTGTAGTTTTTATTCTGGGTAGCCATGTGCCCCACCAGTTCTATTATTAAAAGCAGGGGAGATTGGATGTTGGAAGACGATCAGAAGTTTCCGCGGCCACACCATCCTAGCGTTGCCTGTGAAGACTCTCAATTCACATGGTTCTTCTTCCTATTTCAGAATCCTAGAGAAAGATGAAAGAAATATTGATGCCTGCCAAATTCTAGCTGTGCATGAGCTTGCAAGAGAAGGAAACATAACCACAGTAAGTTCTTTCAAGACTCAGAAGTTGAGCCTTGAGGCCTGGCTGGTGGAGCTCAATGGATTGAGTGCAGGCTTATAAACCAAAGGGTTGCTGGTTCAATTCCCAGTCAGGGCACATGCCTGGGTTGTGGGTAGGAGACCACCACACATTGATGTTTCTCTCCCTCTTTCTCCTTCTCTTCCCCTCTCTCTGAAAAATAAATAAAATCTTTAAATCTTTTTTTAAAAAGTTGAGCCTTGAAACAAACCCAGGAGGAGGACCCCTCATAGCACCCCCATCCCCTCCTAGATCAAGGCTTTGGAGGGTGTCCCCTGGATCTCGGCTCCCTCCGCCCCTCCCCCATACTCCCAGCCAAGTTGTTCAGCTCTGGTTTGGTCTGTGGGCAATACAGTTCCAAAGGCCGGCAGCAAGGTCGACTTTGGTTCTGCCACATGTCCCCTGTGTGCACCTGGACAGGTGTCTCCACCTGGATAAGCCCTAGGATCCTCATTGGTGAAATAGGGATAATTCCACACACTGCGTTAAGGTTGTTCTAAGGACTAAGTGAGGTGACAAGTGGGAGAACTTGGAACAGTGCCTGGTGTTTGTAACACCTTGATCTATGGTAACCGATAGAAGTCTGATTTGTGTTTCAGATTACAGGAAATGCCTTTTATTTTTTTTAAGCATCAGTGTGTGGTTGACTCTTGTGCACCCCTTACTAGGGTCCCAGGCCACAACCCAGGCATGTGCCCTGACTAGGAATTGAACCGGTAACCCTTCGGTGCACAGGCTGGCACTCAGTCCACTAAGCCACACCAACAGCCTGGCCTTGCTTTTTTTTTTTTTTGTAATGCCTATTTTTTTAGGGAAGGGTTGGAGTTGCTCAGATACTGTCCAGGCACAACCTGGCCCCATACTTGCGCCTAAGCCTTGTAGTTTTCCAAAGAAACCCAAATAGCCCTCAAATTGTGGTCAGAAAGACCTGAAATTCTTCATGAAACCTCAATGCTCAGACAGGTTCTTATTTTCAAAAAGAGTTTGTGTTTTCAGCCAAAACCTTGCCTTTTGAATAAAAACATCGCCTTGTGGAGAGTGTGGTAGAGCAAGAGTTTTTAAGAGGTCCTGGCAGGGAGAGGACGCTTCTGGTTCCTCCTGCATAGCTCTGGGCTTGCGGATTTTGTGGGGCAGGAGGAGGTGGAGAAGACTGTACTAGGGTGGAACTCTTGAAAAGGGACCAAGCACTGTCCCAGGGTAGGAACAAGAAAACAGGCCTGTCCTCAGCTCCCTGAGACCCCGGAACCCTGGGGAAGACCTCCTGGGCCTGGGCTTGAGGGTTAGGTTCACGGGCATCATTAGCAGGTGATGCCCCCTCCTTTGCCCCCACCTCAAACCCTCAAAGGATCTACCCTTCAGCCCAGCCCAACCTGCCAGTTCTAATCTGGCTTGAGCTGACTGAGCAGAGTGGACCCACCCCATCAGGGTTTCTCGTCTGGCATTTCTTCGCAGCTGAGAACTCCCTGCTCCTGGAGACGGAGTGGGCAGAGGGGTCAGTGGGAAAGAACATGAGCTTTGGACTCAGCCACCTGGTAGGCTGGGTGACCTCAGGGAAATTCGCTAACCCTTCTGAACCCTACAGTCGCTGGACTGGAAAGTTCGGATGGTTAACACCAACTTACAGGGCCATTGGGAGGGTTCCCTGGAATGACAGAGAGATGCCAGTGTGGTGACTTGTCACCATGGAGCAGGTGGTCTGCTGCTGGCCTGGTGGGCTGCAGTGTGGGCACAGTGACAATTGGCTCCTGGCTCTTCCCCGGGTGGGTCTGAAGGGTAGCCCCTCCTCACAAATTCAAGGGGCAGCGCCAGCACTTGCTGGGGGATGAACAGTGTTCCTGAAAGCACCACCCGCAGGTCTCTGGAGCCCCCGAATCCAGTTAAAGCTGAACCTCGGGGGCAGCTCCCAACCAGGAGTGTTTTAAGGTTTCCCAGCGGATGGTAATGTATAGCCAGGGCTGAGAACCTCCGCCCAGCTCCCGTCTCACACGCTGCCTCTGACATTCTCTGTTTTGTCGCTGCAGGCTGCCGACCACGTTAAAAATCTGATTAAGGCGCTAGAGACAAGAGAACCCCAAAACCCGAGCCTCCATCTTAAAAAAATTCTTGTGGTTAGCAGACTGGTAAGAAGGCCCTTTCCTGGTTTTCGAACCCCTGCTTCTCACCGTGTTCCGTGTGTGTGTGTGTGTGTGTGTGTGTGTGTGTGTGTGTGTGGTGTGGTGGGGGGAGCTATGGTCCCTCTGGATGCTCCCTGTGTGCCCTGCCTCTCCTCTCTCTGGCACAAGCTTAGCCTGTCAGGCTGGTGTCTCTCACACCCCATGGCCCTCCCTGCCTCTGGCCAGTGCCTGTACCACGTGGGCTCCTGTACCAGGTGCCAGTGCCTGTACCAGGTGCCCCTCAGAGATGTGGAGATCAGGGGGATGAGGTCTGGCAGCACGTTTAGAGTGGGAGGCACCTTGTCGGCTGTTGTACAGCAGAGTCATGCCCAGCTCTGACCTCGGGGTACTGGGCACTCCACTCTCAGTAACCTGGGAGGGCTGGCCTGCCTGGGAGGCCTCCCTGATATCAGGCAAGGTGGAACAGCCCAGGCCGCCGAGCAGTCTGACTCTGCCGGACCCTTCAGCCACAGCAAGATTGACTGGAAGGACTTGCTGTAAGAACAGAGGCCGCTCTTCGGCCTCAGAGACCAGGACCGTGGGGTCGAATGCCACTGGGAGGCCATCTGTCCCCCCACATCTGTGTCTGATTCTCTCTGCCTCATTCTCCACACCTGACAGGGAATGTGGCTGCCCACAGCCTTTAGGGCCACTTCCCAGCATCAGGACCCAAAGGGCTCTGTCACCCGGCTTCAATGTCCGATCAACCTCATGGGAACCCGTTGGACCAATTACTGTGGCCAGGGAATTACTGTCCCTGTGGCAGGAGGCAGGTTCCACAGATGTGTCCAGTGGGAGGTGCTTCGGGAGCTGGACAGCTGCACAGACCCAGCTGCCTGGACACAGAATGTCTCTTAGGCTCTCCTGAGCCCCCCGCCCCGGGCCTGTCGAAGTGTCCCCGAATTCTGAGGTGGCTGAGTTCAGGCTGGACTGACTGGTCTTCCCATCCCCATGTATCCGTTCCTTGCAGTGTGGGAGGCACCAGGTGATTGTCCGGCTGGTGTGCAACTTCATCAAGCGCACCTTCATGGCCACACCCTCCTGCGCCCACGTGGCCGTAGAGCTGGGCTACCTCTTCATCCTGCAGGACCAAGTGAAGGAGGCGTCTCTGTGGTACTCGGAGGCCATGAAACTGGACGAGAACAGCGTGGCCGCCTTGACAGGTCTTCGCGGGCTGGGCAGAGGGCGGGGTGGGAGGGCAGGTGTGGGGAGCCACGCAGGGTGGCCTTCCTGGGTCCAAAAGAGAGGTGTGGGGGAGCATTGTCCCCAGAGAGGGTGTGAGTTTGGGCGTGCGCTGTATGACAGGGAGCCTTTCCATGAATCTGCAACAGACCCGAGGCCCACACGCTGACCCCTGGGCAGCCTGGCCCTTCTGCTCGGTCAGCCTCGCCTCTCCTCACGCCCCCAGAAGCTGGTGTGGCAGACACCCTCCCAGCACCCGCTGCCCCAAAGCCTCGCCTCGCCTCCGGAGACCCTCCCTCCACAGGCCCCTGAGCCCAAAGGCCACCACAGTGAGTCGTTCTGAGAGTTTTACTTCCCTGTCTGTGCAGACGCTTCCCCTCTTTACGAAAATGTCAAATGAATTTTGCAGAGCCTGATTTTCATTTTATACATTTTTTAAATGCCCTGCAAAGATCCACGGTCTCTGGCAAAGTCAAACCAGCAGTGTTCATTTTGGGTCGAGGAAGCCGTACCATCTGGTGGCCGGGATGGGCCCGCTTCTTGCCCTGGTTCTGAGGAGCTCTGTCGTTGGGGGCACGTCACTTCTCTGTGCGCTCCGGGCTGCTCATCTGTGCCACCCAGTCGTCAGAGTGGTCGACTTTCACTTCCGGTTCAGCGTGTCAGGCTGACTATCCAGTCCATGCCTCCTCCTCACCCCAGACCCCATGAAAACAGCGGGAGGCATCTTACAAAGACAAATGCAGCTGTGGACGTAGGGAGAGGTGTTGTCAGGGGACCAGAAACCTCGGGAACTTCACATTTCTAGAAGACGTAAAGCAGATGGCATCCCTGCATAGACACTCGGGCGAGTCTGGACGCCTGAGCGCCAGCGTGGGCGGACACAGCTCAGCTGGAGACCGAGTGGACCAGCTCTCCCCAGAGAGCTCCAGGAAAAACAAAAACTGAAAACACAAGGGTCACCAGAGGCAGGGAGCAAAATACGCCGTGGGACAGCCAGGGAGGTTACAGGAGGATTGTTGACAACCGGGGGTGGAATCCAGAAGACTCACCAGGGAGCAGAGCAGAGCCCCCGGGGACTTCCCACCACCACAGGGGCATGAAGGACAAAAGGACTGGGCTGCTCAGGGCACAGGCAAAACCCCCTAAAACACTCCCCCACCAAGCTGAGTCCTTCCCCATTTCCTCATTCAAGGGAGAACCCCGGCCGGTCAGCCAGAAGGGAAGTCCAGGGAACAGGCGCCGCACTCTGGCCCCGGGCAAGCCCACTCGAGTGGGCCCTGGAATCGCCATCTTATCTGGCCTGTCTGAGGACATCAGTAACCTTAACAGTTTGGGAAATCTGCCCAATGGCTAGTACTTGTGCGTCCAGTCCTTTTGTAAATCTTGCAGCAGTTTGACTGAGGGGCTGAGCAGAGCAAGCAAAGCCAGGGCTCCCGAGGGGCAGAGTTAAGGCCGGCACAGAAAAGACTCCCCCCCCCACCAAACACCTCTGGAGTTGGCTGGCTGCAGAGGCTGCGGCGTCAGTAAGTACAGAGCCTGCCACTGCGGGGGCGGGGGGGGGGGGAGGGCTAGAGAACAATAGAGAGTTGTTGAAAATTTAAAAAGTGGTGGCAAAGCAAAAAATTCCACAGATGAGCCAGAGTGGGATGGATAGAACTGGAAACTAAGATGGTCATTAGGAACACAGTCAGAAACGAAAACGCCAAACTGGTCGGAGGAACCGCTCGCACAGAAGAACAGCGGAGACAGAGGAGACCTGTCCTCCCAAATTCAAAACATCTCACCCAGCAACAGTAGTCGAGGCCGCCCGAGGCCAGCGCTGGAACAAACAAGTAGATGCAAGCAGAGAAAATGGGGCCGAAACAGGTCTTCTGATGGCATTTCAGGCCAATAGAATTTCAAGAACTCGAGGTCGGACACAGACTGTCCACCAAGAAAAACCCGAAGGTGACTCCTCGCAACACCATACTCAAAACTGATTCCAAATGCACTCAGCATTTAAACATAAAAATTAAATTAGATTTGGATTCCCTGGGGGGTTCTAAGCAGAACCACACGCTCAAAAGCTGTGAAGGCAAATATTTTACTGATTGGACTATGCAAAAATTTAAACGAATGGCTGGCAGAAGACACTGAAATGGTGAAAGACACTGTAAAATGGTGAAAAGGTAAATGGCAGATGAACAGAAAACGTGTGTTACAAAGGGTCTGTCCTATGTGAAGAGAAATAAAATCACCCTAAAAGAAAAACAGGCAACAGGGTGAACAGAAAATTCACTGTACAAAAGGAAAAGGCCATTAAGTTGTTGAGAAGATGGTTCATTCTTTCTAATTAAAACACTGTGAATTCAAACGAGTGAGAACCCACTTGTTCAGACTGGCACAGAGCAGGGCACACCTGCGAGGCTGTGCAGAAAGGCTGTGTTCAGTTTCTTGGTAGTGATATTAGTTCAAATATCTTTGGAGGACAGGCTGGCCTTATCCGTTGGTAGTTTAGAAATGCGTGCTCTTTGACCCGTCCACTCGACTTCAAGAATTGGAACACACAAGAGATGCTCACCACGGCCGTGCGATATTTAATCGTCAAACACGAACTGAATGTGAGACGAGGCACCCATCCGCGGGGCTATATATGGTTGAGTAAGTGGTTACACCTACAGTGGAATAGCAAAAGAGAATGGTTGAAGAGAAAGGGGTAGCTTTGTGTGAACGGCAGGGAAATGTGTGTATACAGTAATAAGCCAATTCATTACTGGCGTTTGCCTCTGGAGAGAGACATGGTTAGAGCCAGAACAGGAGCTAGAGATGTTTTTCTACATGGCCTTGGCATTTGAGTGCTTTGCCAGGAGCCTGCGTCACTCTGCACGAGGATGCTGGAAAAGGTCCCCTGCCCTGAGACCCTTCCTCCCACTGTCTCCCCAGCTCCTTGGCCTGTGGGACCCCTGGCAGAGCCTCGGAGCTGGCTGCTCATCGTTTTCTGTTGCCCTCCCAGGGATCATCTGGTGCCAGATCTTAGAGGGCCACCTGGACGAGGCTGCGCACCAGCTGGAGTTCCTGAAGGAGGTGCAGCAGTCCCTGGGGACATCGGAGGTCAGCGCTCCCTGGGGACGTGGGTTGCCCAGGAGTGTGTCCACTGCCCTTCTCCCACCCCCAGCCTCTAGTAGAGAGCAGCCAAGGTGTCCTGGACCTCTGCTTTGCCTCCCCCCAACCCCCCGGCCACCAGCCTGCCTGCTGGCGTTGGTCCTGAGACCTGGGCCTGATCTCACAGGTGCTGGTTTTCCTCCAAGCCCTCCTGGCCTCCAGGAAGCACAGGGGGGAGCAGGAAGTCACAGCGCTCCTGAGGGAGGCAGCGGAGCTGCACTTCTCCAGCATGCAGGGCCTGCCCCTGGGCTCCGAGTACTTGGAAAAGCTGGACCCCCTCTTCCTGGTCTGCATCGCCAGGGAGTACCTGCTCTTCTGCCCTAAGCAGGTCAGAGGAAGGTGTATCTTCATGGGGGAGATGGGGCTGGGATACAGGTCGGGGCAGAAGCAGGGAGCTCCCGTGGCCAGCCACCAGACTGTTCCAAGCCCCAGGCAGCTGGGGAGCCCAGTGCTCTTCCAACTCGCACATGCAGCACGCATGTCGCCTGGGAGTTGTCCCAGGGCAGGTATTGGTAGAAGGCCTGCATCTCACCCAGGCCCCCAGCTCATGCCGGTGCTACTGGTCCAGGGACCTCACTCAGAGGAGTGGGTTCCCGGGCCATGCCACAGCCTTCATCCTGGAGAAGAACTGGGCTCCCTTCTCCTAAGAAGCACACACACTATAGTCTTTACTTGTTGGCCCTGCTTCCCCAGCCAGTCGAGATTCCTGGTGGGCAAGGATCCTATCTGACTCACCTAATAGAGCCTCATGCCTCGTAATGAGTCATTCCGCAAATGTGCACTGCCTGGCCAGCCACGTGCCAGACCCTGCGCTGGGTGCTTGGACACGGCGTGGGCAGAACAAAGTCCCCGTTCTCTGGGGCTTACGCTCCGGCACTAGCTAGTACCGAGTGGACAGTAAACGTGTGGAGTCAAGTTCCCTCACTAGGAGAGTTTTCCTGAGGGCTCCGGGGGCCTCTCCCAGGATGGGACAAAGCTCACAGCCACTCCCCTATGTTCCCACAGCCCCGGTCACCCGGCCAGATCGTGTCTCCGCTTCTTAAACAAGTAGCTGCGATCTTGAGTCCTGTCATGAAAGCAGCGCCAGCTCTGATTGACCCCCTGTACGTGATGGCTCAGGTCAAGTATCTCTCAGGTGAGCCCGAGGGTCCTGGTGGCCAGGGGGGGACTTGAGTCCTCCCACATCTGTTCAGCTATTCGGACACCTGGTGGACTGCTGCCCCTGAGTCAGCATCCACGGGCTGCCTGCCTGGGGTACTTGATACACACTCACACATACACTAACACTCACCAGGCCTGCCCACTCCTTCCAGCCTCCAGCCCTCCAGAACCTTTCCTGACCTCCCTCACCAGCAGGGGGCTCTCCCACCCAGCCTTTTGCTGACAGCTTGGCCTGTGCCAGGTGACAGTCCCTGAACTCTTCTGTGCAGTCACTGCCCTGACACAAGGGTACCAGGGTACCGTAGCAGTCACAAAGGCAGAAATTCCCTCAGGGGGTTGTATTCCAGTAAAGATGTAACAGCTAAGCACATTGTGTTGTTCCTTAGGAGTAAACCGAAGCAGGGTAAGAGGTGACAGAACTGCTGTTTTTAACAGGTGGTCAGGAAGGCCTCCCAGGGAGGCCCCCATGGCCAATGGCACAGGGTCTTTCAGAGCCTCTGGGTGGCCAGAGTGGCCTCCTTCTCCCGTGTCAAGACCCAGATCCTGGAGAGAGATGGGGAGAGGGAGCCAGCCCTGGTGGGTGCCCTCTTGTCCTCTCTCTCGCTGTGGCCTTTCACCTGTCTGCCCGAGAGCCAGGCTGACCTCTGTAGTTCTGGGGGATTCCAAAGGACCTGGGCTGCCACCGCGTGTCTGTCCTCTGGCTCTGCGTCGGGTGGGTTGCACTCTTTCTGGGGCTTCCCCGTCTCTACCCTCAGCCCTCCCAGTGTTCGTCTGTGGGGTATCGGGTTTCCCACAGCTTCAAGGTCTCCCGGGTACCAGGTGAGAGCAGGGCACTCCCTCAGGGGTGCGGGCAGCTGCCAGCAGGTTCAGGGCCAGAGCATGGGCTCTAGCTGCTTGCGTTACCATGGCGATGTCTTCACATGTCTGCAGCACACAGGGAAGGAGGGGAGTTCGGGACCTGGGAGCAGGCGCTCCCACCCACTAGGTTATGTGGTGGAGGGCCCTGCTGAGGAAGGAGGGCTCTCCTCCCGGCTCCCTGCACCCCACCCCTCGGAAGCCACTGCCATGGTCAAGGGCCAGCCTGGCTGCAGGGAGGCCTCCCAGCCCCACCGTGCCAGGGCATTCAGAGCTCAGCCTCAGGAGCTGGAGGGCCCTGGACTGAAATGCTGGCTTTGTCCCTGCCAAGCTCCATGACTTAGATTACTGGTGTCCCAGTCTTACATCCAAAAGCAAGGATAATGGCCCTGACGGGTGTGGCTCAGTGGATTTGGGTGTCATCCTGCAAAGCAAAAGGTCGCCAGTTCAATTCCCAGTCAGGCACATACCTGGGTTTCAAGTTCGGTCCCCAGCTGGGGCACGAATGATAGGCAACTGATTGATGTTTCTCTCGCACATGGATGCTTCTCTCCCTTTTTCTCTCCCTTCTCTTCTCTCTAAAAATAAACAATATATATTTAAAAAAACACACAAAAGTCCAGGATAATAATGCCAACCTTGGGGGGCTGGGCAGACATTAAACCAGCCTTTCCGGAGAGCTTTGCCTGCGCCGGCAGTGAGCAGCGGGTGCTTCGTAAGCTGTGGCAGGTCTGGTTGCCATTATTATTAGGGTTTGTTCTGTTCTTAGACGTGGGAATCAGGACTTAGGTGCCCCGCCCTGGCTGGTGTGGCTCAGTGGATTGAGTGGACCAAAAGGTTGCTGGTTTGATTCCTGGTCAGGGCACATGCCTGGGTTGCGGGCCAGGTCCCCAGTGGGGGGTGTGTGAGAGGCAACCACACACTGATGTTTCTCTAACTCTCTTTCTCCCTCTCTTTTCCTCTCTCCAAAAATAAAGAAAATCTTAAAAAAAGAGAAGTGTCCCCAGAGCTTCCAGCGGGCACAGTGGAGTACCATGGCTGTCGCCCTGAGGGTTACAGAGAGGAGGGAGGTGTCACACTGAGGTGCAGGTTTCCTGGCTTTGGCACGGTCAAGGCAGAAACTGTGCAGTTCTCATTTTAGGAGGAGCGCTCCGAGCGAAGCAGAACAGAACTGGGTAAAATGCCCAGCTTGGGTACTTCTTGGTAACGGGACATGTAAAGTTCATTCTGCCTTTAGGCCCTGGGTCGCAGGAGTCCCCAGGGCTCCCTGGGCACAGAGGCTGGTGTGTCATTTCCAGGAGAGTTGGAGAACGCCCAGAGCACACTGCAGCGCTGCCTGGAACTGGACCCCAGCTCCGCAGACGCCCACCTCCTCATGTCTCAGGTCTACCTGGCTCAGGGCAACTTTGCCATGTGCTCCCACTGCTTGGAGCTGGGCGTCAGCCACAACTTCCAGGTGGGCGTCCTCTGTGCCGGGTTACCCACTCAGCGTCCCCGTGCCGAGCTAGCTGTTGTCCCCCGCGCCTTGGGCAAGAAGCCCCAGGAGCTACTGGCATCCCTCAGACCCTCCCGCCGACCCAGAGGTGGGGGCGGGCTCAGTGGGCTCCTGTGGCTCCGTCCACTCCGGGTGCTGTGAGCAGCCGCCGTGACCCAGAGCCCCACCCTCTGCTGTGCTCATCTAGGTCCGAGACCACCCCTTGTACCACTTCATCAAGGCCAGGGCCCTCAACAAGTCCGGAGACTATGCAGAAGCCATAAAGACACTGAAAATGATCGTAAAACTACCAACTGTGAAGATGGAAGACGGCAAGAAGCCCCGCGGGCCCTGCGTGCCGCCCAGCGAGCGGGTGTCCATCTTACTGGAGCTGGCAGACGCCCTCCGAATGAATGGGGAGCTGGTAAGAGAGGCCATGCTCTTCCCCCGTGGGGCTGGGGCACGGATTGGGGGTCCGGGGTAGGCCTGTGGTCCAGGCCTTTTGATTCCGGCTGATACTCGGGCTATTATATGAGCCTCTATTCATTTGAGAACTTATCTCTCTTGCCCAAAAGGCTTCAGTGGCTCCCAGTGCCCTCAAGATAAAAGTTCAAACCGACTGGGACCCACCCAATCTGTCCCCTGCCCACCTCACTGTCCCTGTCAGGATGTCAGGTCGAGCAGATCAGGCGGTGTGCACCTTCCAGTGGCTGCCGGTCACACCGCAGCCTTTACAAGTTTGGTCCCCTTGGAGCTTTGCATGGTGCAGCCTGTGTGAGGCAGCCCTGGCGCCCTGGAAGGTCTGGCAGGCACAGGGGTGGGGGGTGGGGCTGAGGGAGCTAGACTCCGCCCACTCCCTGGGCCTCCCTGGCCTCACCCACTCGCCTGCTCACCAGGAAGGGGGCTGTCAGCAGAGCTCTAAGACCATGTCCATGAGCCACCAGGGCTGCCACCTCCTGCCTCCTGTGGTTACCTTGGCACAGCTGAGGAGTGAGCCCATGAGGCCTTTTGTCCTTAAAGTCAAAATTTGCCTCCCAGGCAACGACGATGGGGATGTGGAAGACTGTTTATGGTACTTCCCTCCCTTCAGCCTGCCGAAAGAAACAAAAGAATTAAACGTAGAGAAGGAATCTCCACCTGCAGCAAAATTAGAGAACAGCTATCTTTGAAGGATGGTCAACAGTCAGTCATTTGTTCAGCTGTTGGCTGTTGCTTCATGCCAGGCACTGTGATGGGGCCGGGGATAAAGGGGAGCAAGGCCACTAGCTGCCGCCCCCCACCCCACCCTGTCCTTTCAGAAGTTACCATGGTGACAGAGACAGCAGGGTGCCCTGGAGGTTCCCTGGTCCTAAGGTTCCAGCATTTGCTTGAAACTTTCTGAACTGGGCCTGTGGTCATGCCACAGGAAAAGCAGGGACATTCCTGGAGGAACTTTGCACTTCCACAGAAGGGCAGGGCTGCCGAACAAGAACTCCCTTCTGAAAAGCCCCTGCTTTTCTCTGGCCCGGATGTCTTTATTAGGGAAGTGGGCCAGAGGAAACGAAGGAGGGAAATAATCTGGTATCACTTTCCCAGCTTGCTCAGCCAAGATAACAGATCTGTGAGCCAGCGGTTCCGTCCTGACCCTAGCCTCTCACAAAGGCCGTCCCCAAAGGAGAAAGCTAAGGGGGAGGTGCTCCCAGGGCAGCTGTGCCAGGACATTCTCCCTCCCCAGCCCAGTTCTGAGAAAAGGGCAAGGTTAGATAGAACTGTTCCCGTTAGTGATCAGAAGGGGTCCAACATGGAACTACAGGTCAGGGATGGAGGGGAGAAAAGGGGAGGGGAAAGGAGGGGAGGGGAGGGAGGGGAAGGGAGGGGAAGGGAGGGAGGGGAGGGGAGGGGAAAGGAGGGGAAGGGAGGGGAGGGGAGGGGAGGGGAGGGAAGGGAAGGGAAGGGAAGGGAAGGGAAGGGAAGGGAAGGGAAGGGAAGGGAAGGGAAGGGAAGGGAAGGGAAGGGAAGGGAAGGGAAAAGAAAGGGAAAAGACAAAAGGCAAGATTATACTTTAGGAGAAAGTACTATAAAAAATAGAAGAAATTTTTTTTCAAAAAATTTTTCTGCACTCCATGAAAAGAAAAAGAATGTGGAGTCTTGTAAAATGAGCTCAGGGTCGAACACAAGAGATCGAGATAGGGTTTCTAATAAGACGGAAGGCAAAAAGTCAGCTGGCAGAGTTAACGAAAGTAACCACAGAAAACAAGGATACCGTTATAAAAGTATACTTTCTTGAGAAAGAGTGGAACGTAGGTGAGCCCTTGCTGAAGCTCTCTGACTGGAGGGAAGGGTTGAGAGAACCGGGAAAATGATTGAGGGGATTTGAGAGGACGAGGGGCAAGCAAGACAGACAACAGGACTCCAACAAAGGCGAGGTCCACGTTCCTTTGGCAAAGAGCACCAGTAAGACACGGAAAACATTGAATACGTAGTGGGACAACAGTTCCTTCAGGAAAGACGTGATCACAGGAAGGCCCTCTGTACTGGGGAAACAGCAGTAAAGTAGTAAGACCAGAAATATCCTAATGGTAGTATCTTTACGAGGTTCTGGAAATGAAGGATGAGTGATGCAGATGAAGGCTCCCACATGTATCCAGGCAGAGGACAGAAACCAACCTGGCCTCAGACTCTTGAACCCAACAGTACTAAATCCAGAGACAATGGAACGATGTTTATGAAGTGTAGACAGGAGAAGGATGCCCCCCCAAACATCCTTCACGTATGGAAACAGTAAAGGATGCTTCTCAAGAATCACGGTGTTAGTTAAACTTTTCTGAAAAGTCTACTTGTAGGTATACAGACAACCAAAACCTGAAGTAAAATGAAGTTTGTGTGAGTGGGAAAAAATTGAAGTAAAAGAGGACAGAATTAAGTCTGTTTAAACACAGACGAAATCTAAATAAATCTAAATATAACTCCATTAAAAGAATTATAGTAATTTTGACTCCAAGCCAGTATAATTGCTAAGTTCTTGAAATAAAAGTTATTGAAGTCAAAATAACACTAATATCCCATGAAAAGATCCAGGAAGAAAGACAGAAAGGAACGGTGGTGAGGGGACTGTGTACGTGTGATTTTCCACCTCTGTAGAGGAGAGTATAAATAGTAGTTTACACACAATATTTCCTCTTTTGTCAGATTTTCTTTTTGACAGAAGGGAAAGGGAGGGAGAAACGGAGGGAGAGAAGCATCAGCGTGTGGTTGCCTCTCTAGCGTCCCCTACTGGGGACCTGGCCCACAACCCAGGTATGCGCCCGCACTAGGAATTAAACCGGGGACCCTCAGGTTGGCCAGCACTCAATCCACTGAGCTACCCAGCCAGGGCAGTTTACACAAAATGTTTCTTGATAGAAAGAAGATTATAATAGAATGAAAAAGATTTTTTTCACCACATTAATCAAGGTTAGGAAGAAAAGCAAGAAAAGCCACGTGTGAAAGGCAGAGATGAAGCAAACCACAAGCAGCATAAAAAAATAAATGAATAGCCCTGGCTGGTGTAGCTCAGTGGATTGAGCAAGGGCCTTCGAACCAAGGGGTTGCTGGTTTGATTCCCATTTAGGGCACATGCCTGGGTTGCTAGCCAGCTTCCTAGTGGGGGATGTGTGAGAGGCAACCACACATGGCTATTTCTCTCCCTCCCTTCCCTTCTCTCTAAAAATAAATAAATAAAATATTGTTAAAAATAAATAATAGCCCCACGTATTCCAAGGCAAGCCGGCCGTCCCGCAGAAGCACCCACATCCCAAAAAAAAAAAAATAAATACATTTACAAAAAGCCCAAGAACACCTATCTGTGATAATAAAACAATAAATGAAATAAATGTACCCATTAAGTGAAAAAGACACTCACTCTGGTATAAATCATGGAACCCCTACAGCTTCTGCTCCAAAACCTGAGCTCCAGGATAAAAGTTAGAATCGGTCAAGGAGTTCATCATCACCAAGCCCTTATTATATGAAATGTTAAAGGGACTTATCTAAGAAAAAGAAGTTAAAGAAACATGAACAGTGAAAGGACAACAAACTCACAGTTATTAACAACCACACCTAAAACGAAAGCAAACTAAAAGGACAGCCAGATCAGGAGGGGAAACATAGAAATGAAGATCTCAAGGAGGGTTAGCAACAGGGGAGTAGGAGGAGGAGAAGGGGGGAGAAGGTACAGAAAATAAGTAGCATAGACAGTAGATAGAAAATAGATGGGGGGGGCAAGAATAGCATGGGAAATACAGAATCTAAAGGACTTGAGACACACGGTCATAAACTAAAGGGGGGGTAATGGTGGGGATGGGGGGTAGGGTGGAGGGGAATGAAAGGGGGAATAGAACAACTGTAACAGCGTAATCAATTAAAAAATTAAAAAATAAATAAATAAATAAAACCCTGTAAAAAAAAAAAAGAATTGGTACGAATACAATAAGGCAAACAAAGAAAGCAGCGGCTGAGGAAGAAATGCTGGGAAAGCCGAGTGTAAGGCAGAAAGCACCAACGCGGGCGGCAGAGAGAGTGTCCGCATTAATACTCGGGTACGGGCCCTGACCGGGCAGCTCGGTTGGTTGGAGCATCATCCCAATAAGGCAAGGTCGCACGTTCAGTCTCTGGCCAGGGCGCGTACCAATGATTGCATAAATAAGCGGAACAAATCCTCTCACCCTCTCCCCCTTCCTCCCTCCCTCCCCCACTTCTTCCTCTCTAAAATCAATAAAAATTATTTAAAAAATAATCATCATCAAAGGTAGAAATATAGTGAAGATATTGTTTTCAGAGACCTCTATAGACCCAATGCCATAACATGAAAATATCAGTGATCGAAAGCAGGGAGGTTCAAGGAGATGCATCCATAGGTCTCCCGTGGGAAGACTTTGAGGTGCCAAGGGGGTTTCCGTACCCCGAGGCTACCTGGGCACCTTCCCCCTGCCAGAGCAGTGGCCCCAGACATGAAGGTGGTCTCTTTCTGCCACAGAAGCCTTCCCACAGGCAGCCGCAGGTCCTCCTTGCGTGGCTTCCGTGTACCAGGACTGCTCCTAGCCGTCTCCATGTTTTGTTCCTCTCCCAGGCCGGGCTGGGAAGGGTGACGGCTTTAAGTTTCCTCTTAGAGGTTTAAGATGTCCTCAGGCCACCTGCGGTGTGTGGCAGCAAACGGAGGGCCTGTTGGGTTTCCATGTCTTAGCATGAGGCCACCAAGGTCATGCAAGATGCCATCAACGAGTTCAGCGGCACGCCGGAGGAGATCCGCATCACCATCGCCAACGTGGACTTGGCCTTGAGCAAGGGGAACGTGGACATGGCACTGAGCATGCTGAGGAACATCACACCCAAGCAGCCCTGCTATATGGAAGCCAAGGAGAAGATGGCCAACATCTACCTGCAGACTCGCAGAGACGTCGGCCTCTACATCGGATGCTACCAGTAAGCCGCAGGCAGTGCGCTTGACAGCGCCTCGGGGGGCACTTGGTGACAGTATGACATTTACTGTGCGCTAGAATTTGAGCATGGTCAGTCAGGCAGGCTGGCTCGTTGCTGAGTGCTAAGGACACTGAGCTGAATCGGTCCTGACCCTCGATTTCTCCCCCTCACACGGCTCCCATTTCTTGGGGAGAACCTTGGGAATGAACTTATGCCCTGGCCCCTGGCTCTGCCCGTCCCTGAGGAAACGTCCAGTGACTTGGACGTGACTAATGTGAGGTGGAGGAAGATGGAGAGTGGGTTTGAAGCCCCAAGCCGCTGTCTCTATAAGTTCATGCTGGGACCTGGAGGGACCTTCCCCGTCCCGTTCCTCAGGCAAAACTCCATCTAGGCAGTTCAGGTGGGAGGGGAGTGCTGCTGGGTGGAGGGGCGGTGGGGAGACTCTCCCAACAGCGGAGGGAAACCGTAAACGGGCGGCACGGTCAGATGGGAGTTCTAAAAAGAGCTGTGCAGCTGCCTCGTGGAGAGGGGTCTGGGGGCTGGGTGGAGGCTGTGGCCATGGTCCAGGTGACAGATGAGGAGAAGCCTGAACTCAGCTCCACGATGCCTCCAGCACATGGGGCTTTCAGTGACTGTTGGATGGGTGA